TGTTTTATTTATCTGTCTCTTTCACTGCGTTATATAATTATTTATTTGTGTGGTACTAGGAATGGAACTTAGGGTCTCACATGTACAAAACATGCACTCTGCTACCAAGTAACACCCCTTCCCGCACTGAATTGTTTATTTTGGGGGTGTGGTGGTCTTTCCAAGTCATGCTCTGAAGCCCTGGGCATCCGCTCCTGACAATTCTGGGCCAACCAGCTTGGAGGATGAGTGTGAGGGCATGAGGCCATGGTGCTGTTTGGGCCCTGGGCCATACCTGACAGTGCTCAAGAGCTTTTGAGGCTGCACCCAGCAATTCTGAAGAGCCAAGTTATGTTGGAAATCAAACTGGGGTAGCCATGTGGAAGGCATGCACCTTAACCCTATACTTCCCCTACCCTACTGGAGTATCTTCAAGCAAATTCTGGACACTTCGAAGATAGAGACAGCAGTAGCATAAGCTCAGGAGATAAGTCAATGATGACTTTATTTATTTTGCCCCAAGTATCTCAAAATGTAATGATGTGGTCAACAAACGTGGTGAACCTTGTAAGGGAAGTGAGTTGGGCACTGAGGTAGGCATTTAACTCTGAGAGTCCTAATGGAAGTGCAGTTGACTTGACCACTAGGGATATAAATGGGGACTCAAAAGAGTAAACCTGGGCGAGAGACGTAAATGTTGGAGTTGTCAATATGCATGTATTATCTAAGTCATGAGACAGAATAATCTAGCAAGACGAATGAGTGTAGATTAAGAAGAGAATTTGTTCATGGTCTGAACCCTGGGACCTTTCATTGTTCAGACATTAGAGAAATAAGGAAGAATCAAGGACTGAAAGGGTTTGAAGGCAAGAGGTAAGAATAAACCATGAATATTCTGTTCAGAAAAGCAAGTGACAGAGACAATCACTTGGTGAAAGAGATAATCGACCAGCGGAATTATTAATGATGGAACACAGTGTTAGGAATGACACAGGTACATCCATGGATGGCAGGGGAGCAAAAGCGTGATGGGAATGAGTGCCAGAGTAAAGGGACTGGGTTATAGCAGGCGGAGGTGATGCTTAGGAGGAGACCACCTGTAAGGGAAAGAGGTATGTAGAGGAGCCAAAAGGGAAATAATGGCATGTTTGTAAACCAGTGGGAAAGAAACATTCAACGGAAACAAACATTGATTCTGTGGAAGTGGAGGACATGGGGCCAGCCATTGCCATAATTGAGATCAAGCTAATAGGCAGGAAGGTAAACTACAGAAGTAATCATGCAGCATTTATGATATTTTGGTCGATAATGGACTGTACACATGACAATGGTCACACAGTAAGTCACACCAGAGAGTCTTATGTTTCTGGCTATCTAATTCATGTTGTGTAATTTTGTTTACATAATGACCAAATTACCTAACAACAAAGTTCTCAGAATGTATCTCTGTTGTTAAGCAATGTGTAACTATAGTTGGGGAAGAGTGTGGGAAAGTGGGTGGATGGTAGAAGCTTGTGGAATTTCTCTTCCGATCGAAATAGGAAGCACACACATGAGTGAAGAGTAATAGGTATGACTGAAAGCAATGGGCAGTGAATGGAGTCCAGGACTGCTCGGCTGTGACCCCGTTCCCTTTCCTTTCCATGCCCCCATCCTTCCTGTTGAACCATAGTTTCGCACAGAGGTCACCCCTGTATGCAATTTTCATTAACATGATTTAGAGAGAATATCTTGGGAAACCACAGCAGGCCTCATGGTCCGTGGTTTAGAAACTGGACTTGAGAAATATCAGTCTCTAGGCAGCAGTTAGTTTTAAATTTTATTTATAAACATTGTAAAAGTCAACAAGTCTTTTAATTTTTGTTTTCCTTGGGGCCACATGTGGTGGTACTCGGGCTTCCTCCTGGCTCTGCACTCAGGGGTCATTCCTGGTGGGCTTGAGGGACTGTAACTGGTGCTAGGGTTGGAATCTGGGTCAGCCGAGCTCTATCCTCAGGCCCAGAAGTTAGGTTCCTGAGGTGAATGCTAGAGGGAGTTTATATGTAATAATTGTTAACCTGGTTTTTAGGTAAGCATTATGTACAGATCATTTTTCTGTAGTTTTGATTAAAATGTAACTCCTTTCTAGATGTATAATTTCACATGTATACATCATAGCTATTTCTCATAACTCCCGAGAAAGATTTTTTAAATCATAACTATTTTCCTTTTGATTAAATTCAAATTTTTCTCCATCTGAACTTCTATTACTGATTAATTCGTGGGTTATATATACTCTCTTTCTTCTGAACTAATAATTTTCTTTCATATTTTCATTTCTTCTGCTTCTCTGTTCAATTTTTCAGATTTCTTCTCTATGCTGGATTGCCTAAATTGGCCAGGTTGTCAAACCACGAGGAATTTTTTTGTTTGGTAACATAAATTTGGGGCAAAACCCTTATTTTTGAATGAAACTCTTGATTCTTTTGGTCTGGGTTATAGTAATATGTATATTTAAAATACTCCCTAGTTATTTCTGGTGATCAGCTAGGTTAGCCACAAATCTGTATCTCCAGAGAAATCTGCCATTTGTTGAGTTCAGAGAGGATCGCAGTACTAGTTTTCCCTTCCGCGTTTTCTGTCACCTGTCTATAGCTTGGACATGCTTGTATGTCCCTGCTTTTCAGAATAAATTTACCATCTCGGCTAATTCCCCTGAACCCATCCACTCTCTTCCCCCTTCCCTCTGCTGTGTTGGTGATGGTCACACACCTCCTTGTGCTTGTACATACACTAGAGTGTCCTGCTCGGGGGGGGGGGGGGGGGGGCGGGGGAGAGGGATGGGCTATGGTCACACATGTGTTTCCCTAGAGAAAAGAGCCTCTCGGTGAGTGCAGGAGGTAGTGGGGATGGAGCTTGTGAGCCCGCTGGCACAGCCCAACGTTCAGCCACCCAGTCAGTCCCAGGCCTCATCTATTTTATTTTAATCTCCCAGTGACTCACTCACTGGTCTTTTTAAAAGAATCAATCACCTTCACTGCATACTGTTGAGGATATAAATAGATGTTTCCTAAAAAACATTTTTCCATAGAGATATGAAGCTTCTTTGATTCCAAAGGAAAATGTTCCTTCTTTTTTACTTTTCCCTTCTGTTTTCTTTCTTTCTTTCTTTCTTTCTTTCTTTCTTTCTTTCTTTCTTTCTTTCTTTCTTTCTTTTTCTCTCTTTTCTATATCTCTCTCTTTTTGCTCTCTTTCTCTCTTTCTTTCTTCTATAGTGCTTTTGAGGCCATACCCAGCTGTGCTCAGGGATCACTCCTGGGTGCTCAAGAGACCATATGAAGTCTTGGGGATTCGAGTCTGAGTTGGCCTCAGACAAATGCAACTGCTTTAGTCACAGCATCATCTCTCTGGTGCTAGAAACATGCTTTGCAGGTAAAAGCCCAAGTTTCAATCCCTAGCAGCCCACCGTTCTATAAACTTTGCTGGCAGTGACCCCCAAAGTAAGAACAACAAACAAAGCCTTAGTATGACTGATGCTTCGTATGGCTTAGAGTGCCCTACCAAGTGTCTTGTTCTACTATGAGATTCCTTGGTTTAGTAATTTTGGGGGCCTCCCAACTGGTGCCTAGGAGGTCTGAACCTCACTAGAAGTTCAGTGGAAGGGCCTGATGATATGGTACTGAACAATCTTAGTTGCTCACTAATTTTGCATATTCTACTATTACTTGATAGCAGTATTAACACTCACGTAGTAAACAATCTATTCAAGTAAATAGTCATTACCTTTTTCAGTCCTAATCTTGCAGAGAGTAAGGTCTAAATTCGTATCTATGTCATGGAGCATAGATTTGTCTCATTGGTAATGGTGGTTACCAAGCAGTATTCCTAAAGGTTCTAAATTGTCCATGAACATCAGAGGCATAATGTCAAATAAGATCAAGTTGTAACGCTCCAAGAACTCCCATCCTATTGGCCTTCTTATCATATTTATGTATTCAATTCTATATAAAATTTTGTTTTAATGAAGAATATCATTGTGATAAGGCATTTGGAAATCATTAAATGATAATATCCAAATATATGGCACGGAAGTAAACCATCTCCTCAATATGTTCTGTTGCTTAATTATTTCCATGTGAAATCTCCAAATGATAGTATACATTTGGAGATACTATTTTTTTTTTTTAGATTACACTCTGAAAGCACAGCAGTAGGGCGTTTGCTTTGTGCGCAGCCAGCCTGGCCGAGCCAGGTTTAATTCCTCTGCCCCTCTCGGAGAGCTGGCAAGCTACTGAGAGTATCTCGCCCACATGGCAAAACCTGGCAAGCTACCCATGACATATTCAATATGCCAAACACAGTAACAAAAAGTCTCAAAATGGAGACGTTACTGGGCCCACTTGAGCAAAATTGATGAATAATGGGAGGATAGTGTGTTTTGTTAGTGAAACACCATGAGATACAGTTGTAGACTTACAAATTTTTGTGCTTGGGTTTCAATTATACAATGATTGAGTACCCATCCCTCCACTGGTGCCCATTTTCCACTACCGTTGATCCCAGTATCCCTCCCACCCCCCATCCTCCCATCCACCCTGCCTCTGTGGCAGGGCATTCCTTTATTCCTTTTTGTTTTCTCTCTCCTTTTGGGTGCTGTGGTTTGCAAAAGAGTTATTGAGTGGCAATCATGTTCGGTCTGGAGATAGTATGTTTTTTAGATTCTCAAGAGTTTTTTTTTTTCCCATAGGACATCTACTGTGGATAGTTGATATAAATCTTGCTATTCACTACAGAACAGCATGGTTCATAGAAAGCATTAAACAGCTACAAGTGGAGTACTGAATCATGTTTCTGTTTAACCAAAATGATAAGAATATCTCCTCTGGAGACTGGGGATGCAGCACAGTAGTAGGCTGTGTGCTGTGCGTGTATGAGGGCCTATCGCAGGCAACCCCCAAGGAATCTGGTTTCATTATCATACGATCAAACTTCAGATACAACCTATTCAGAAGATTTTAGAATTTAATTCAGACAACAACATATAATTTTAAAAATTAACTTTATTTCATACCTAGTCAAATAATGTTATAATATTCATTAGAATTAAAGGTTCTGCAAGGCAAAAATATTTAATTAAATACTTTGTAATGACATTTTAGTTTTTAAATACTCTTTACTTGAATAAGACTCTTTCTGACAGACATTTTTAGTAACATAATGTAGCTTTCAGAACATAAAATGTCTTTATTTTCCCTATTCTACTAAGATTATAGTATATAGTAACTTATCATATAGATATGTTAAATTGTATGTAATGCCAACTGCATAGTTAAGCAGCACGATGATTATTTCTCTTAGTATCGAATACTAAAATTAGAGTAATCAAGTTTGGTGATATTTTTTTCATTAGAAAAGTTTGCACGGTCAATGCGAGAACTAGGACTGCCAACTTTGCTCAGCCACGTCTTCCTGTGGAAAAAAAGAGAGAAAAGAGAAAAGAAAAGATATTAATATAAATGTAATGGATAAGCTTACAATGTCCTTAGAATAAGAGAATCAAGAGATAGTACAGAAAGTAGTATTCTTGTTTGGAGTGTAGCCATCTGGGGTTCGAGCCATAGTGCTGGGTATGGCCCCTGAACGAACAAAGTCAGATCAGCCTAAGAAAACTAGTGCTCACAGTTTTTCATTTTCCACACTCTTACAAGGCCATTTCATCTAGCTCTTGTAGCTAGATTAAAACATTTTTACAGAGAGGTAATAATGAATTTGTATTTATTTTTACTCAGAAATAGCACTGTAGCTCTGTCCTTTCATTGTTCATCGATTTTCTCAAGTGGGTACCAGTAACATTTCCATTGTGAGACTTGTTGTTACTGTTTTTGGCATATCAAATATGTCACGGGTAGTTTGCCAGGCTTTGCCATGCGGGCAGAATACTCTCGGTAGATTGCCTGGCTCTCTGAGAGAGGCGGAGGAATTGAACCCAGGTCGTCCACATACAAGGCAAATGCCCTACCTGCTATGCTGTCACTCTGGCCCCTACTCAGAAATATATGGAGAAATATGGAATGGGAGTGCAAAATACGAAATAGATGATTATTCATACATATTAGGTGAATGTTTCTTCTTAGCTACTTATCAGTTGTTACCATACATACTACATTTTTTCTTTATTCATAATACCCCTGTGTCTAATTTATGCATTTGTGAACTCACCTGAGATGCTTCCTATGTAATTCAGGCCTGTTTTTGACATGTTAAATAATACTGCAGATAATTTTTTGGAATCTCTTTATCTACTAATAATTATCTGGATACTAAGTCTCATTATTAACTTGCAGTCCCTTTTAGTTCATTTTATACAATTGTTGGCCATTATCTGAATTGTAATGTTTCCTCATTTCCCCTTACTTGTATGTATAACTGTGTGTTACTATATATGACCATCTCATAACCTTCAATTAAAAATATCTGCTAAGCTAAAATCTGATTAGCTTAAAGTTACTCTTAATTAAGCTAGAGAAGAATCCCAGTGATTCCAACTTCAATACACTTTTAGCTGGGGGGAAGGGCCCAGAAGCAATGATGGAGTCCAATTTGGGGATACTGGAGCCAAAGGTAGGGTCTCGCAGATGCCAGGCCTGTACTCTGGTCTTTGGTTCATTTAACTTTTGTTTGTAAGTTTTTGCTTTTATTGTCTCTCATAAACTGAGCCATGAATACATTAGCACTTTTTATTTTATTTTGTTTATAGCTATATATATATTTTAATTACTTAATTATTCTAGTCTATCTTGGCAGCAGTTTTCTTTACTGGCCAAATCTTGTAAGCAAAGGTTAGAAGTAATAAAAGCTATCACTTCCTGAATATTTTGAACGCATTGGTAATTTGCTTACTAACAGACTGGACATAACGTGAGAAAAAAAAAGGCTAAAGGATAAAATCCTGTTATGAGTCTGAAAAAGAACTTAAATGTATTGTTATTTACTAAAATGGCCAGTGTGAGGAGAAATTTGGAGGAAAGAATGGAAGTTTAGTTTTGAGATGATTAAGTCTGAGGTGTCCATTGTCACCCAAATGAGAGGTTGAGTAGATGGCTCCATTTAGGAGTCTCTCTAGAGACTCCTAAAATTAAAATTTAAGGATATAAAATTTGGAATTTGATATTCGAAGCATTGGAAGTCATAAAATCAGATGGTATCAACAAGAAAACAAATTAACAGAAAAGGGTAGAGATGCAAGGACTGTGTCCAAAACACTCCAACATTAGAGCTCAGTAAGCAGAGGAAGAGAGCCCCAGGGGAGAACAGAGCCTCCAGTGAGGCAGGAGGAAACCCATCACATCCTGGAGCCAGGGGGAGAGCTCTAAGGCTAGCGCTGCTGACAGCGACTAAGGATTGTCCTCACTCGCCGAAAAGTAACAGTTACTGCACTGCACAAAGACTTCTGTCAAACTAGTAGTTGATGGAGAACCAGGTTGGGGAGGCCAGAGTTAAGAGAGGACTTCAAGGGACACTGCTATGTCTGCCAGGCATGCTGTCGCTGGCAGACTCTGTGTGCCCTGATCTCTAAACCTGAGAAGTGCACTGCATCTCAGGTCCTTTAGATGAATTTGATCTCCTTTGTGTCCAAGAAGTGAAAGGCCAGTGTCCTGGCATGAATTCACGCTGATGTGGTTCCTAGGAACATTGGAAGCAGAGATTTAGAGACTTCCCAGTGCTCCTTCCTGGTCTGAGATAAATTCCCACAGCCCTACTGTGGTGGTCAGCAGGTTGCTCCTGCCTTCCATTTGATCTACCTGGTCTGGGGTCAAGCCCTGTCATTTGATGTACGGGAAGGGAACATGCATTGCTCTTTGCAGAGGCAAGAAAAGAAGATAGACTTGGCTTTCCCTCAGGCCTAGGCTCTTGTCTTATAATTCAAGGACAAGAACTTTGTGTGCTGCTCCCCCATTCCAGGTGAGGTTGCCTCTGCTCATCACACATCTGGAACTGGAAGCAGAGCCCCTTCTTCTCACCAGGTCCCAGCAGCCTCCACACTGGAACCACCATAGCAAAAGGTCCACACCACAACTCCTGAAACAACAGATCTCCTCAACAATTTACACACTGCTCACAGTTATTCTTCCTGACTTTGGTGAAGACGGGGAGAGAAGACAGAAAGCAACCTCAACCTAATCCCTCAGCACCTTCCAGGGGCTCTAACTACAAACACTCACCCCAGAGGAGCTGGAAAACCAATGCAGAAAATATGAGAAACCCGCCAAGTTCAGTGACGGAAAATAGGATCACCAAAGACAGTGCCCTTAGTGACACCATAATGAAGAGACTCAACAAGTTCAATAAACAATAGTACAGACACTAGGCTAAACACAAGAAAAAAGAAGAGTCAATGAAAAAACGACTACAGTCAGAAATGACAGAAATGGAGAACATGGTAATGCAGAACACTGGTAAATAAAAATGTAGTACATTTATATAAAACAAACCTCAACAGAAGCTCTGAATAGCAGAATAACAGAAGTTGAGCAAAAGATCAAGGAGATACAAGATGAAAATGAAGAAACTGCTAGAAAACAGCATGAGAGGTGAGAAATAGTGTGAAAAAAATGAACAGCATACAAGAGAACTATAGGGTAAATTCAAAAAGAACAATATAAGAATCATTCAGGAGTCCCTGAAGAACAGGAAAGAAGATGTGATGATAAACAATAGTTAAAGATATCATTGATAAGAATTCCCAAGAGTTGAGGATTATAGGCACTGAGATCCAAGGGACCTGAAGAGTTGCAGTGAAAATAGACCCAACTAGGAAAACTCCAAGACATGTTGTACTCAAAATGACAAAAGCTACAAAAACAAAAAAACCTTAAAAGTAATCAAATGTCCATAAGATATACAGCAGATCTATCATAAGGCTCTGTGAATCACAAGAGTATGGAAAGACATAGCACAGAAACTCAAAGAAGGTGCTGGAGCAATAGCACAGCAGCTAGGGCATTTGCCTTGCATGTGAACGACCTGGGTTTTATTCCCAGCATCCCATATAGTCCACTGAGCACCAACAGGAATAATGAGCCAGGAGTTACCCTTGAGCATCACCAGTTGTGACCCAAAAAGCCAAAAAAAAAAAAAACCTTCAAAGAAACAAACACCTCATCAAGCATACTCTATCCAGCTAGATCATCATTCAGGTCGGAAGGACAGGCAGCAGTTGAGGGAATTCACAGCTTGGAACCAGTTTTGCAGGAAGTGTTTAAAGAGCTTCTCTAGAGGACAGGAGAAACTTTCTATTCTTCTGCCCTGAGTATGGCCCTCACTAACGGGGTACATGGATTCAGAAAGGTATGTTTCTGTGTAATCCCAGAGTCCCCTGCCTGCGCACCTGACTGTCCTCACTGGGGCCCCTTGGAGGAGGGTGGGTTGAGTTTCCCTCCCCACCCTGAGCAGAGCCCCGGCAGCTGAAGACCTCCAGTTCCAGCCACAGCCATGCTTAAGACCACTCTCCACAGGTTCAGACAAGCCTCACCATGAAGGAACCAGCAGAAGAACACAGATGTGCGGGACCTGGGGCACAGATCTCCAAGCTTGCTCGGATTGGGACTGGGGCCTCCTCCAGCCAGATCCCCAATCTTCCAGTATGTAGGCATTACACCCATCAACTGCCCCCTGCTCCGTTTAATCCCATCAATGGCCAAGACCCAGAGACTATAAATCCCTGCTCCCGGAAGCACACGGCCACATTCATGGCCCCGGGACATCTTATTATCTAGTTCTTACTCTGGAGAACCTGGCAGGCTACCAAAAGTATCTTGCCCACAAGGCAGAGTCTGGCAAACTCCCCGTGGCATATTCAATATGTCAAAAACCAGTAACAGTGATAGGTCTCATTCTCCTGACCCTGAAAGAGCCTCGAATGCTGCACTTTTTAAAATCTCAGGGCTAGGACGAAGGAGACGTTATTGTGGCCTGCTCAAGGCAATCGATGAACAACAGGATGACAGTGATACAGTGATGTTTCTCCTAGTTTGCGAAGGTATTTTATACATTTATACATTTTCAATTATGAAATAGCATCTTATTTATTTGATTAAAATCACTTAGCAATCAATCATCACAAATAAACTTTTATTGATATATTTTCTGATAATCCCATTTTCAATTCCTTTAGCACAACAGGTAGGGCATTTGCCTTGCATGCGGCCAACCCGTGTTCAATTCCTCCGTCTCTCTCAGAGAGCCCAGCAAACTACCTAGAGTATCCCGCTCACACAGCAGAGCCTGGCAAGCTCCTCATCCATTTGATATGCCAAAATACAGTAACAACAAGTCTCACAATGGAGACGTTACTGATGCCTGCTCAAGGAAATCCATGAACAATGAATGGGAGGACAGAGCTACAGTGCCAACTTTCATTGGAGCAAGTAATATGAAACATATTTGTTATAAGCTTGCCAAGGGGCCAA